TATTTTTGGGGTATTTTGGGGGTGTTTTTGGGGTATTTTTGGGGTATTTTTGGGGCGTTTTTGGGGTATTTTTGGGGCGTTTTTGGGGTGTTTTTGGGGTATTTTTGGGGTGTTTTTGGGCCATTTTTTGGGTGTTTTTGGGGTATTTTTGGGGTATTTTTGGGGTAGTTTATGAGAAGTTTGGAGGCATTTTTGGGGAATTTTATGAAATTTTTGGGATATTTTTGAGGGGTTTTTTGGGTAGTTTTGGGGTAGTTTTGGGGTAGTTTTGGGCTATTTTTTTGGTATTTTAGGGGAATTTTTCGGGAATTTTTGGGGTATTTTAGGGGAATTTTTGAGGCATTTTTGGGGGTATTTTATGAGAATTTTTGAGGCATTTTTGGGGTATTTTTGGACCATTTTGGAGGCGTTTTTGGGGTGTTTTTGGGGGTATTTTAATGGAAATTTTGGGATATTTTTGAGGTGTCTTTGGAGCATTTTGGGGGTATTTTAGGAGAATTTTTGAGGCATTTTTGGAGTATTTTTGGAGAATTTTGGGGCATTTTTCCCGTATTTTAGAGACATTTTTTGAGGTATTTTAGGGGCATTTTTACGGAATTTTTGGGGAATTTTTGGGGTATTTTAGGGGTATTTTTGACATTTTTGGGAGATTTTTGACATATTTTTGAGGCATTTTTTGGGGAACTTTTGGTACATTTTTGAGTTATTTTAGGGGGAATTTTGGGGAATTTTTGGGGAATTTTTGGGGCATTTTTGAGGTATTTTGGGGAAATTTTTGAGTTATTTTGGGGGCATTTTTGGGGTAATTTTGGGTCATTTTTGGGGCATTTTCAAGGCATTTTAGGAGAATTTTTGGGGTATTTTTGATGTATTTTGGGCCATTTTTGGGGTATTTTTGGGGTTATTTTTGAGGCATTTTTGGGGTATTTTGAGACATTTTTGGGGTATTTTTTGGGGTATTTTTGATGTATTTTGGGCCATTTTTGGGGTATTTTTGGGGTTATTTTTGAGGCATTTTTGGGGTATTTTGAGACATTTTTGGGGTATTTTTTGGGGTATTTTTGATGTATTTTGGGCCATTTTTTGGGGTATTTTTGGTGTATTTTGGGGGCGCTTTGGGGCATTTTAGGAGAATTTTTGAGGTATTTTGGGGTTATTTTTGGGGCATTTTTGGTGTATTTTGGGCCATTTTTGGGGGTATTTTTGAGGCATTTTTGATGTATTTTGAGCCATTTTTGGGGTATTTTTTCGGTTATTTTTGGTGTATTTTGGGCCATTTTTTGGGGTATTTTTGATGTATTTTTTTGGTTATTTTTGGTGTATTTTGAGCCATTTTTGGGTTATTTTTTGGGGTATTTTTGATGTATTTTGGGCCATTTTTTTGGGGATATTTTTGGATATTTTGGGCCATTTTTTGGGGATATTTTTGGATATTTTTGGTGTATTTTGGGCCATTTTTTGGGTTATTTTTGGTGTATTTTGGGCCATTTTTTGGGTTATTTTTGGTGTATTTTGGGCCATTTTTTGGGTTATTTTTGGTGCATTTTGAGCCATTTTTTGGGTTATTTTTGGTGCATTTTGAGCCATTTTTTGGGTTATTTTTGGTGCATTTTGGGCTCCAGGTGACGATTTTTGGTTGGGATTATTTTTTAGGGGGGTGGGGGAGGGTCACGATAATTTTTGGGGTCCCCCCTCTGACCCCTCCCCCTTTTTATTTCCCCTTCCAGAGCCCAAAGACGATTTAGGTGAGTCCCGCCCCTCCCCCCACCCAAAATTTCGGGATTTTCCCCTCCCCCACCCAAAATTTCGGGATTTTCCCCTCCCCCACCCAAATTTTCGAGGTTTTTCCCCTCCCCCC